ACTGCTAGTTGAACAAAACACGACATTTCATGACGCCTGCTCAGCCTGTGAAGCTGTGACGGGTGTTTTCCCTGATAAAAAAAACAAAAGAAATCCCTGAAGTTATCATTAATCAATCAGTTACTAATCAATACAACCTAGCTGGATGAATTAACCACTCATGATTAGCGGATGAACTTCGGGAAGCTGAAATATTTTGTTGTTTCTCATGATGGGCTGGTGAACAGATTTAAGTCCTTTGTTAAGTAATATTAACATTTTTTTCCTGAAGTGTTTCACAGCCAGCAGACGACCTGCATTCATCAAACACAAATAGCATCAATTTGCTGCATAAATTGTGCAGAACCTCCCTGGAAAGCTGAATGTTTTTCAGTTCAGGACTAAACAAGACATCTCTGTGGGCTCTGAGAACTTGTCTTATATTATTTGGGTTAAATTATTCATTCAGAAGTAACGCCTTGATGGGTTAATCAACTGTGAATAAAATGTTAGGTCCATCTTTCTTCTGCTTGTGCACATGACGGCTGACTGACTGCTTCACATGGTTCAGGTTGTAAATCATTAAACGGCTGCACTAATTAAACAGCAACGATAAAGCTTCATTAAGGAAAGGTTCATAGTTCTGCTCCGATGAGTCTTTGATCCGAGTCTTCCCCATTTCAATGTGGATTTTGCTCATTTAGATTGTGTTGTGTTATTGTATGGCTGCGTTGGTTTCAAGAGATTTTTTTGTTAAATGAACTTCTGATTTTGAAGAATAAACATGTCTGAATTTGTTGAAGTGAGGCATTAACAGCATCCCAACACGTCATCAGCAAACAGCAAAAACTACCTCAAGAAAAAGATTACCGGAAGATAAAATAAAAAAAAGATTACCCAAAGACAAAAATAAATAAAAGATTACTGAAAGACAAAAATAAAAAAAAGATTACCAAAAGATCTAAATAAAAAAAAGATTACCGGAAGACGAAAATAAAACTTCTCAAAAGCAATTAAACCTTTTTAATTACAGGTTTTTATTGATATCTTTTCTACTTTGGACAGAATGATCATGAAACAATTAATAATTACGTGGTGACTCTGTAGAAACCCTGAAAACGACTTCATCCATTCATCAGCCATCAAGTCATTCATTAACCAGATTATTGCTGCAGCGCTGGCTGGTGTTTGTGTGCTGTGACATAAAACAAGACTTTAAAAAGCTCAGGAGTGTGTGTGAGCTGCAGGTCAGGGTTTCTCGTGACAGTGCCGCCCTATACGCATTGTTACACACACTCACGTTCACACCGCGGCCGTGTGCGATTGGTGTGTGTCTGTGGGCAGGCCTTGTGTTGGGCTCGGGCTCGGCGCTGCACATCGGGGAGCTTACTCTGAGGATGAGGCGACTCTGACAGCTGCTCACTTTGGGTTTTTTTCTTTGGGACCATTTTTTTAACAAACACATGGACTTGCTGTGAAAGCTGCTCCCTGTCTGCGAACCTTATCACTTCTGTTTCTTGTTCTTTAAGCAGACTGAGCTAACATGTCTCTCACTGTGGCTGGTAAGTTCACGTCTCGGTTGAAGTTTGGTTGGACGGTTCTGCTCTCTTTGGTGTCAGTGTTGATGGTTGATTGTCTGATTTGTGCCTGCAGCCGTTCAGACGTGATGTTTTAGTGAAAAAAGACTCAAGTGACTCCAACCACAGCTTCAGCACTGACACAAATACTTTCACTTTGGTGCTTTGCAGTGTGCTTTATT